GTTTGAAGTTGACGTTTGAAGTATAAATTTCATGCTTTAACGACTACAAGCCCTCGTAGCAGTTCAAGCATGAAATCTATACGCCAAACGCCAACTTCAAACGCCAAATCTTAATTTGCTGCTTTGGTGAATGGCATGACTAGTGGTTAATTAGCTTTCTTAAATCATTGCTAAAGAGCACAAGTTTAATAAATTTAACATATTTCAAAACTGGTGTAAAAGCTATTATAATAGAGTTGTAAAATCAAAAACTTCGCTAGCGGTTTGACGTTTGCCGTAAACGTCAATCTTAAGGTCTCTAATATTTTTCCACATTGCGGTGCCCAAACGAACTTAGGCATTACTTTATATTTGCTGGCTTATTAGCTTGTTAAGCTGCTGATTTGTTTCGCCGATTTGTCTTTAACTTATTAACTTTAATAATTATCCTACATTACAGCATTTCAAGTTAAAACAAATATACATACAACAATAACACTATACTATACAATACTATAAAAATGTAAAAATTTATAAAACGTCTATAGAACTATTACGATTAAAAATTTCCTCTGAGAATTCCGAAAATCCATTCACAATAGCTCACCTTTTTTAATCTTCGGCTTATGTTTGTCTAAAAGTACTTTAAAGTTAGTGACTGCATGATGAAGCAGTTCTAACTGTTATCGGCAGCCTATTCCAATACACAACTGATCTACATTTAAATAAGTCCTGAAGTAGGCTACAGTTAATAACGTTGTATTAACCCTCGCCTAGTTAATAGTAATAATTGCCTCTCTGACACGCCAGTCGTAAACATACTTTGTCAATATGACACAATTTGAAAGTTATTTTTAATCAGGTCCCTCCTGATTAATTTGGTAAATTTCCGTTGGCAGTTTCAATTTGCATAGTAGACACCATTTTCCGTATCTTGGAAGAGGTAACCAAACCTAGACACAATACTCAAGATGAGGCCTTATCAGGGATTTATAAATTGGTAATAGCACGTCAGCGACACGAGATAGTATGTTCCACAAAATCAACGACGTCATCTATTTCACTTTCCCAATACTTTCTTGGATTTGACTCCCACAAACACGATTCGGTTAATAAAACACCCAAGCAACTTTTACCAATTACGATTTAATACCTGGTCCTTCTATTTGCCAACGATTCGCAGCTTGTTACCGTTTAGAGAGTTATCATTCCTTGGGTTATCTTTCCCGATGTGAATAACAGTACATTTCCCAGGATAAAAATTCATATCCCAATCTGATTCTCTGGTAGACAGACATTCCAGATCGTGCTCTAAAATTTCAGGATTGTTGGCATCGCCTACTAACTTAAGATCATCGGCATATAACCTCATAAACGACTTAATACTATCTGGAAAATCATCGGTACGAACAGCACAAAAAGTAGCGGTCCAATCACTGCATGGACTACGTGGTACCCAAATCCGAAACAAATCGGTGTGTGTAACGTTGTCGCGCAACGATTTGTGTGTGCAAAGTTTCGTTCCAAAGTCCATGTTCTTTAATCAGCACGTTGCGGACCGGTTGGTTGCGATACAAATCGACGAAACAAACTTAACACGTAACAGGCCGCTCATTTGGTCTTGCAATACCTGTGCGACACAAATCGGCGAAACAATCGGCGTGTGTAATCGGTTAGTTTGTTAACGTTCGGAATCATAAGCCTTGGTATTTATTCAAAAATAGTATGTTTGCACTTGTTTTGCACTTGTTTTCTGCATTCTCCCGGGCACTGCAATGTAGTTTTGAACGCAATTCCACAGGGCACTGCAATCTGGTTTTGAACGCATTTCCACAATATTGCCAGGGTGGAAGGGGAATATTTTAGGTAAGATGTAGGAATTACAAAACAACTTAACGGACCTTAATTACACCTAAATAACTCTACCGAGCCTTAGATTGTCATAGTACAAACGGTTATTAAAGATTTGAAATGGATTGTGCTTTTGTTTATTTCTTTAGGTTTACATGAACATCTGATAAGCGATATTGATTACTGCGATAACATATTTTGAGTAGCAATTGCCAATTGTAGCGTAATGTAAACGAGTGCACACGAAAACTACTGCCAGTATCGTCAATAGGGTGTATGGCCATTCTATATCATGTATGTTATCACCTTTAAGTAATAGAGAATTATTTATTAACAACGATATTAAGCGTATTTTACCGTTACCAGGGGCGGACATATCGATTTTGACTGGGAGGGTGTAATCACGAAATGAGACCGACCCACCACTGAAATGTGAATCCAGACCGACTCTTGCTGAGTTGGTGTGTTGCAATAAAATTGAGTACAAAGCATGGAAATTGATGGCATTTATTAGGAATATTGCAAGAACACGTACAGTTTACTGTGTTTAGCGATTTCGTCAAGATCGATCGTGTCTGTTAGATCGCGCTCACACGCAAGAGTCAAGAGTTCACCAAAGCGTTCCTGGTTCATTACTGAACGCATAACAGTATTCACTGATTTCAGCCTTGAAAAGCTGCGCTCGGCTGATGCGGAACTGTCAGGCACGTAACTATAGGATTTTAGATTGACCGAGACACTTCTGGGGGGTCTGGGAGCATGGTCCCCCAGAAAAAGTTTGATTTTCTAAGGCTTAGAAACGCTATTTTCTGCATTCTGGGAGCAGTTCAAACGAAAATTCAATTTCATAAACAGTGACACAATGACTATAATTTTATACTGTAGTTTGCCTCCAAGAAGAATTACAAATATTTTTGATCGAACATCATTGATCAGGTGCATAATATAAAAGTGTTTCTGCTCCATTGTTGTAATATTTGGGCGCTGGCCCGCACTTTTGTTATTGGGGTACTTGTGCACCCACACAGCCTCCCATTTCTTACGTTACTGTATAGGGCAAGAATAATGCTTCTTTACATAGAGAGAACTATACAGTCTGTAATTGAACTTGAACTTGATTGACTCATATACCTAGTTATGGGCCTGACTGTAAGCAACAATTGGAAACATCGCCTAGTCAGTGGAAACAATTTTTCGCTCCGTGATTTCAGATAAACCAGTGCGTCGTTCACTGATCGAATTTCTTGATTGGAGTAGGCACATAAAACTCTTTGGTAACAAAATGCATATGCATATCTGTTACATATATATCTTTGCATCTGATAAAAAATATAGTTTATAAGGACCGGAGAAATATTGTAACTAATACTAGCCATTTTGATCGAGATTCATCGCATTTTGGAGTCTGATTTTGGGGGTTTGAAATTTTCGCTAATATAGAATATCACCCTTGAATGACCTTGCAGAACCTAAATTCCAAATAAAAGTGCCAACACGTAATCGTGACGTATAGATATCTCCATGTTTGGAAAGTAAATGGAAACTTCATCCCTTCACCCCTTCACCCC